TAGTTTAGTGTCTCATTCAAGTGTTTTAACCCCTGAGTAAGAAACTAAACTAACCCCCCGAATGGGGGGGTTGGTTGCGTTTTAAAATCTTGAGTAAGACACTAAACTAACCCCCTTCGGAAGGGTTTGTTTAGTGTCTCATTCAAGTGTTTTAACCCTTGAGTAAGAAACTAAAGTAACTCTCACCCCCGAATGGGCGGGTTAAAACACTTGACTAACTCCCCCTTCGGGGTGTTAATTTAGTGTCTTATTCGGAGCACTTCCTCTAATCTGATTTTTTACTTCTTTATGTCGCTGTTCAGAGGCCAACTGTTCTTGGTCAGTCAGCTTTCTACGTCCAACCCCACCCTTGCAAATTTTCGTCTGAGTTTTTTCCCTTCTGTTTTTGATGAACTAGAGCAACGCGCTCCTTTCGGAGCGCATTCTCTAATCTGATATGTTACTTCTTTACCTCAATGTTCTTGGTAAGTCAAATTTCTACGTCCAATTCCACCCTTGCAAATGTTCGTTTGTTTTATTTCTCTACTGTTCTTGTTAAATAAGTTTTTCTACGTTTATCAATGTAAGTCTTACTTAGCTTTCCTTCTTTTGTTAATATTTTCCCTTCGATTTTTTTTAATTGTTAGATAGATCTGATGTTTAAGTTTTTACTTCGCTATTCAAAGGCCAAATGTTCTTGGTCAGTCAACTTTCTACGATATATTATTCGATGAAGACGTATTGTTTCTGTTTGCCTTGCCCTGCTAGCTATGTCTTGCCTTGCCTTGCCTTGCCTTGCCTTTACTTGCCATGCTTTGCCTTATCTTGACTTGCCTTACATTACATTACATTACATAACCTTACTATTCATTACATTGCCTTCTCTTCCCTTTCCTCGCCTTGCCTTGCCTTGCACTGCCTTGCCTTTCCTTGCCTTGCTTTGCCTTTCTTTGCCATTCCTTGCCGTGCCGTGCCTTGCCTTGCCTTGTCTTGCCTTGCCTCACTTTGCCTTGCCTTGTTTTGCCTTGGTTGCTTAATATAAAGAACACTATAATTAATTATGTAAGCGGTGTGCCTTCTTATGAAGAAATGAAGAAAAAGGAACACTTTTATAAAGATATTAATGAGACTCGAGGGTAAGTATTCTTTTATTTAAATATTATACTGAACTGCGAACCGGTTGAGTGCCTATAGGCTTCCATTTTAGCCTCTGAATGAAGTAATAAACTTCCCGCAATG